GGACGAAACGTGTGTCCTGGATTCCACTGCTAGTCACCATCCAACTTTACCTTTTTAAAAAACACTATATAACAAAATGATATGACTAGAAAAATTCTTACTAGAAGGTAACAAAACTGATGAACATATCGTCAATACATTCATGAAAGAAAGAAAGAAAGAAAGAAAAAGTTTTCAGTTTTACGCTTGAATATGAAAAAGAGAAAAGAACCTTCTTGTCATATGTAATTTGCATAAAAGATTAAATTATAAGTGTTTTATATTACAAGATATTTTATTTTGTTATTGTTTTCAGTAAACATGAAAATGACAATACAAGTAACATCAATTTAATTAAAGTAGTTAAGATTATCAATGTTTACAATATGTTTAACATGAATTATCCACCTACATACAGTGTATTAGATGAATTTCACTCAAATAGAATAAAATAATTCGAGTTTTATGCTTAGAAGAATAAATTCATTGTAACTAATAGTAAGGTGAAGTAGTTGTGTTTTATTCTATTAAGGAGTCTTCAATTTGGATCTAATGCATTCCAGTGTTGTTATTCATATTGGGAATTGAAACTAATACCTTTTACTTCAAATGATTAATGCGTTATTTCTTGAGCTATTGAGTGAAGATATCTACTCACTCGTTCAATATGGTTTGATATTTATATCATTATAAGAAAGGATTTGAATAAAGCTGTGCATCCATTTGACAAATCCCAAATAAAACGAAATACCAGTCTTAGATTCCTCTACTAACCAGAATGTATCTATTATGTAAACATTTGCGGTAAAATGATTATATCGATGAAATTTACAAAGAATGTACGAATGCCATTTTAGAATGATTACCAATAATGGAAATATTCAACTGTTTTCTATCAATGATTTGAAAGAAACATAAAAGAAACAATACTGATTCTACGTACAGTTATATATATAATCAGAAATTCTATTTGGTGAATATTTCCAAAGTTTGGGAATTTTCGATTGGTAAAGGTTCTTTTTCTTGCGCATGCTACTAATTTAGTCAAAAAACTAGAAATGATTGTACCTGGAGAAATATTTTGATTTGACGAATCACTGTTGATGAATGTTAAGTTCTCTGAATATGATTTACTAAACTATCATTGCATCGTATGGACAATTATACGTTCAGTGATGAGAAAAAAATTATATAATACAAATAAAGATTAATTTGGGTATTAGAGGGAAAAGGTTCTATAATGAACGAGCTTTTTAACGCATGCCAGAAATGATTATGTCTCATTTTATTTGTCATCATATCTCTAAGCAGCAGTTGAAGATCAGCTGATAGTTTTGAGTTTGCTTTTGGTTAAAGTTATTGATTGCTTATGGGTGTTATTTGACTGATTACAGGATAAGGTGAGAGAGCCCAAACACAATATGGCATCTATATCTCATATGAATTCATTCACGTTAAAAAAAATTATTATTATCTTAAGAAAAAATGTCTACATGCACTGGAAGTCTTTATATTCTGCATTATTCCCGCATATAGTTGGGCGGAACTCCTCAGTAATTAATTTTTAAAAATTGTTACATCATTTTATCGTTTATTGTTTAATCAACTGTGAATTTTATTTACGATTGCACAGATTCCAACCAATAACAATTACACTGAAATATTTAAAATAATTTACTAACAAATTATTCACAGTTTTACTGACAAGATTCTTATAAATTTAAACAATAAGTAATAATTCGCACCAATGATTGATTATACACAACCATTTAGAAACAAGAGGTATTGATAAATATTTTGTCCCAGTATGGTAATCTTCATCAGTGTACAGTCAATGGATGACAATTCAACAATCCCTACATACCACATATGCAAATCATATTCATATGTTCACTAGTAAAATTCTGGAATTTTTAGTGAGAAGCCTTGACTAATTGAGCTCAATCATTTCAGGTGTCAGACAATCATCTATCACAAGCCATAAGAACTAGTGACTCAATACCGTTGACCAATTGAATTTATACATGTAAATCACTGGTTTAGGGGTTAGGTATTCGAATGTGAGATATAATGTCCTTAATTCAATCTCTGACGGCACCGATGATTACTGTGAAATTGATAGACTGTGATGACGAAAAAATTTGATAGTTCATACAGCAAATAATAGACGAAATACTTATTCTCCGAATTTATTTTCAATAAATGTTTTTTTACCTCTATGGATGACTATTGGTGTAAAGTGGTATTGTATGAGTAATATAGGTGTAAATCATATAATTTATGAGTAGGAAATATATTAATAAATACGTATAATTAATGTCTTAGTCAAGTTAAATTCATTGGTTTGTAACAGAAATGCACATGAACCAGTTCTCATTATTCGATTAGTCGGCATACCACTTCATTAAGGGAATTAGGACCAAGAAGGGATGAGAGGTTGGACGTATCGTTTCTGCATGCAAAGTTCAGGCTTAAGTTCTATACAGGAGCTTTTAATTAATTGTGGACATATCACCCCAAAAGATTCTTCTTTTTAAGTAATCTACAGAGTTAAAGGAACTGGACCGAAGGTGTGTCAAATCAATATTTTATGCACTGCTGAGGTATTGGCAATCCACGAACTCAAACCTGAACTTTGAGTTCGGAAACGATCCATCCAACGTCTCATCCTTCTTTTTTATCTTAGTCTTTGATAATGACGGGATAAAAATTTAAAATTACATTTATTTTACTCGTGATTTTTTGTTCAGCATTACTTTCGTTTTTTTAAAAATTCGATTTGATAATTACTTCTTAATGTAGCATTCAGTTTTGTTTTCCCGTATGACATTTTATTCTTTATAACATACAATATTCTTGTATTCAATTGACATGAACTATGCTCAGCATGATATGCAGCATATGATTTGTTTTAACTATGGGCAGTTTCCATATATGCGATTTCATCCTGATTAGTATTCAAAATAGGTTTGGACTAAGGTTGTCGTTCTATTTTAGGATTAATAAATCTTTACTTGTATCAGTTTTGATTGCATTTGTTCCCCGTTTTACAAGTATAAGCAATAAATGATTCTAACATAACAATTAACAACGACCAGATAGAACAATTGGCAACGCAGTCATAAAAGTCTTTTACTCATATTACCAGACCATTTTTTTTAAAAAACGAACATTAACAATCAGTAACTTGACTCAATTAGTCATATCATGTTCAAAAACCCATTAATCTCCATTATAAAACAAATCTCTTTTAAAAATAATTTATTATTGTCATAATATACATGTATATGTATAGATGCATAAAACAGTAATAGTGTATTATGTAAAATGTAAACTTGTCAATATTGAATAAACAACTGTATGTCACAAATATTATTGTTATTATTTAATGTTCCGGCTTAATTCACTGGAACAAAATTAAAAACAAACCTGACTGCAATTGAAATTAAAAGAATAAAGAGGTGGAAATTGTAAAACTCAAAAACAAAAAAGAGAAATGAAAATATCCGTGATAAAAAGGAGGAAAACAAAACAAAAATTTTATGTAAAACCTAAATGATAATAATAAGAAAAAGTCAATTTGTGTACTCAACAGAGTAAAATGATACAAGTTTCATTACACTACATTAATTCGTTTTACCGAAATTACAATAATATTGTCTTTTTTCCCATTTCACACTGTTCGTTTTTATTGTGATCATCATTTAAAATAGGGAAGATTATGTAATAAAGTGTTATTTTGATCATAAGCTTGGGGATAAATAAGATTTTCCAGCCTAATGTCAAGATACATTAGTGTGGTTACACTTTTAACAGTTAAGCATATGTTTGTGACTATATGTGTGTGCGACCGTTCATCCGTGTATATATGTATGTCTTTCAACGAACGCACATATATTACATCATGTAAACATATGTATATAAATAAATAAATAAATAAATATATCTCCTAATCACTTAAAAAGGAAACATTATGTTTACCTGCATAGAAATGTACTTTACGAATGTTACTAAGGCTTGTATGCAAAAACAAGTTAGTTTGTCTCCTTGTTATCATATATATATATATATATATATATATATATATATATTATATATCATTATGTTGTCCAGATGAATTGAAGAGTACTTATGAAATGTTTGTAAAGAATAACACTTTGAAATATAGATGATTTTCAAAACAAAAAAAGAAGAAAAATAAATGAGTTAAAATTGAGCAAAATTCTTTGTTGTTTTAAGATGTTACTCTATTTTTATTTTGTTATAAACAATCAACATTAACAGATGTATACAAGCAAAGATACGTACAATTTCAAAAAAATGTTTGAATAATTATAACTAAAAAAATGAATGAATCGAATGAAATCTTACGGAAAATTTAATGTTTATTTATTTTTTATTTATTTAAGAAAACAAACTATTTATTGGGTCAACATGTACACTCATATAAACTGGCATGAAGATGAATACATTTATGTGTTTTATTCTCTTAATTTCCTACATAAGCTATCGACTATGATAGATGTAAGACTTTGTCTCAACCCGTACAAAAGATTCATAGAATTTGTATATGATCCAAATTTAGTTTGTATAAGTATTTGTAGATCATTAACTGTACCATCCTGACTTATTGAATTGTAATAGACAAATTGCAATTGAAATCGACAATTCATTTAGTTGTTAAAATAAATGCTATAACTATGAAGTCATAGATTCGCTTACACTTTGATAATGCTTTTTTTTAAAAAAAATTACATAAATATTTATTATTAGTTTCTGTACAGATAAAGTACATGATTGACTGAATACTAAAAGCGCTAATAGTATCAGTACTAGTACTACTACTATATATAGTAGTAGTAGTAGTAGTAGTAGTAGTAGTATCGTTATTATTAATATTACTGAGTGAAGATTGAATCAATCAATCAAAATCCAGAGTGAATATATAGTAAATAATAATAAAAACAGTATTACTGATCACACAAACAATATGCATATAAGTATATATATATATGTAAATATTAATGTTCTGTAATTGGTGCACTACTACGACGATGAGCAAGTGCGGAAAATCGCAAAACTGTACGATCATAATTTAAATCTAACACTTTTTGTTCTAATAATTTATTATCTTTACAACGTATTGTATTTGGAATTGATTTTAAATCAATTTTCGATGATAAATAATTTGGTTTGTTATTTTTTAATTCTTCATATAACATGTGTAATATATTTGCAGATACTGTACATGTAGATGATGATGATGATGATGATTTAATGGTAGAGGATTGAGGTTTAATCTTACTAATTGGTATATTAATATGATTATTTCTTGAATGAAATGATAACATATTCTGTGTATCATTTTTTAATAGAACAACAGTACTTGATTTATTTGATAATGAAAAATTAAATGTTTTTCTAATAGCTAATTGTGTTTCCGGTAATGAATGTCGACGAATAACACGTGTTGTAATAAATATTGTTTGATGTGATTTCCCTGAATGTAAATTATTATTATTACTATTGGAATCAAATGATTCACATGTATTCACTGTATCAATTTCTTGAATTGGTGAATTAGTTAAATGAATTGATCCTATAAAAGGTTTTTGTAAATCAATTTTATTTTTTTGATCCAATTTCTAAAGAAAAAAAATTAAAAAAAAATAAAATCTACTTAATTACGATATATTTTTGTAATAGTTACATTCATGAGTCAATATAAACTGGATCACCATAAAAAACCTGGAAGCACTGAACAACCTTTTCGTCTTAGTATGGGATTCCTTTAGCAATGAGCGTTCACGATCCCAGGATTTTGACCTCTAGACCATTGAGTTGGAATCCAACGATGTTGATATAATGTCTTATTCGAAATTTCTCTTTTGTTTAAATAAATTACACAAATTATAATTTCAATGTTCACTAATGACTTTCATTAAATTTATCACTATTTAAAAATAATTTTGAAAGAAACAATCTAAGATTGGTAAACATGTAGTTTTAGTTAAACTTTACAGTTCAAGTACTTTTTGACATTCAAACGACCAAAATCCATAAGATGATTAAAATTTTCATTGGAGAAAACAAAAGTAAGTTATTTTTATAACAGATCTTTCAACGTCCATCTATGTAATAGACATCTATTAGCATCGTTATTAATTTAAAACATTAATATAATCTTAAATAATAACATATTATAATATAGAATTGTACAGATTGTTGAATTTTGAAACAGCTACCCAGTGTTCCTAGGTTTTTAATATCAGTCTAACATTGATTTATTCATTATTTTAACCAATAACTGAACTGTTACAATGTCTACTAACTACTAGTTTTGGTAAAATCAATTATTACATAACATTCACATTGATTAAATCTTATTGAAATCAATGTTGATATTCAATAATTTTGATTATCAAATATTTTTAATCATTTAATTTAAATACCATTAACAGTCTAGTTGTTATAGTTAATATTTTGCATAGTTACTATTACATATTTATCAAGTATAAATGATTAACTAGATATCCAGTTAATTTTTGCACTGAACTGAAATCAGTCACACAATTACTAAAAACCAAATACCACTTTGAAAATTCTTATCAGAACGCATTAATGACATCACAAGGAAATCCATCTATAAACTGAAGAAGATGTAATACACATACATCATGATACTGATATCCACTGTTCCATAATTTAACTTCAACCAGTTTATTGTATAATAGAATCACCAATCAATTTCATTATTAATGCTTAATATTGACAATTCCATTGTCTTTATAGGTCACAGTCAAATGTTTTACATAGTTTATGGTAATTCTCTAGTTTTTTTTATGAAAGTTATTTTCAAATTGAACAAATTTATGAAAGGATCCATCTAAAGTTCGTCGAACAGATATTTGAATTATGCTAATTCTATGAAACTGGATATAACAAGCAGTTAGATCATCGTTTTAAGTTTAAACTGATTTATTTCTAATAAGTGTATAACTTGATAACTACAAATGAGTACATGCAATAGAGGTTATCAGTTAATCTAATTAGATACAAACAAAATAGATCAGATGCTAAAATCAATGTACATAAAATGGAATACTAATATCTAATTCAACAGTAGTAATTCCAAAGCTTCGAGTAACAAACATAAGCTACGTGGAACATTCAATTTAATGATTAAATTACTCGACTTTCAAAACACCCCTTTTCAACTAATTCTATGTTTCAGTAGATAAATTATATTTCTAGCTCACAAATACACAAAACATATGACTAGAAGCCGAGTAACCAAAACTTTTCCTGTTACATCAACTACATTAAATTATTTCACTTAATATTTCGTGATAATATTTTATCGTCTTTTATTTTACCTGATTAGTGGACATACATACAGAGGGAGGAGTAATCGAACAATGCAATCAAAGGTCATTGAATATGTGCCTATATGGCTTCAAAACCAATTAGTGTCAAATGGTCCGATCAACGTGAAAGGTAGAAAACCATGTTCATCGATAGCAAAACATATAATTGAAACGGGGCACAAAATTGACATTAATACAGCTTTTAAAACGTTGTATAGAAATTGTCAAGGACGAATTCTCAGGTTTATTGAAGCCTTGACTATTCGTAAATTTACCCCCCTGCTTATGTGTACAAAAACAATTTGTCGTAACTTTGAATTTACCCTGGTAATCCTTGAGTCATTTTGTGGCCTACGATAACACAACAATTTCTCATTCTCTCTATACGATGTAAGAAATGTTTCTCTCCTTTTATTACCTTTTCTTACTTGAACTTTTATTTAATTGACCTTTACTAATTTTCATATAAAAATGCCCTGACAAGTATATATGTGACCAGATTATTTGAAATGTATAGCGCAAATACATAATAGTTTTCAGATCAACTACGTCTTCTAATTGCTTGAACAAAATTTATAAAAGGAACTAATTGCTTTAAAAGATATGGCTAACGCTAAAATGTGCTAAAAAATAAAGAAAATAATTCAAAACAAGAATTCCGTAGAAATGTTCAAAAGGAAAATAATCATCATTGTATATATATATATATATATATATATATATATATATATATATTCTTGATATTCAAATCATAAAGGATACTGACTCATTTGAGTGTGTTCAGCGTCTGGGAACGAAATTAGTGAAAGATCTTTCTAGACTCTTTTACTATGAGAGCTTAAAACGTCTAAACCTTTTCCTCTTGTATCGTAGGGCGCGAGGTGACCTTTAATTACAATTTGGGTGTTAATGTGTCTTATCTTTTTGTTCCCTCCAGCACTAATAATTTCTGAGGTCATAGCAAGAAGGTTCACAAACCGCGATCTAATAAACTTAAAGTGGGGTCCCGTTTTTTGCACTGAGTGGTCAATGACTGGAACGCCTTACCCGAACTAGTGGTATCAGCCCCATCAGTGAATATTTTCAAGTAGAAGCTGGAACTTCACTGGAGGGTAGACTGTTAGGATTAACACATGTTCACCAATCTACTATCCTTATTACTGAAGACTGAAAAAGAAAGTCCCCCTTACGTAACAACAAGTTGAATATAATATAAATATGAATTAATTATATCCATTCATCATAAAAGTTTCTTCAACTAACCTCTGATTTGATAGTTTTTTGTTTAATTTGATCTAAATAATGAATTGTTGAAATAGATTGATTATTATTGTAACTAAGTGGTATAGTTGATGTCAGTTGACTGTCTAATGAATTATGACGATTAACATAAGTTGCTATGCCTGATGATGATGATGATGATGAAGAAGAAGAAGAAGAAGATAAATCAGTTAGCCAATTTTTTAAATTTTCATCTAAATTTTGTAAAATTTTCAGTGTAAGATTATTTTGAAAAAATTCATGCCATCCAGTTAATAATGGTTTCACCATATCTCTAATAAATCCTGTGGATTTGGTTAGAATAATTAAGAGAGAAAAAGAGAGAGTTGAAGAGGATGGTAAAAAAAATAAATCAACAACATTATTAGAAACATATTTTTACTATGAATGTAATATTATTACAAATTCAACTGAGTAGTAATTCATATATATAAAGTTGAAAACTGCATGAAATTATTGTATTGTTTCAAGTTGACACAAGTACTACACATAACTACAAGCAAAAAAGGAAATAACCAAGAAGTAAAAAGCTAAATAAGTAGAAAAACTTCATTGGAACTATTTCAAAAGGGTGAAAAATGAGGACAGTATTTGAAAGGTGTGGAATGACTTTGACATCGTTATTCAAATAATAATGAACAATAAATGTAACTAGGATGGATGGTGGATAGAAATAGTACTCAGGACATCTGTTTCGTCCCGTCTGGGGCTCGTCAGGAGGATGTATCTGCATCCCAGAGTTAATGTTCACTCTGGGACCATTCGCTTCAAATGCTATTGCGTTATCCACTTAGCTGCTGAGTCTTGATAACCACTTACTTGTGCAATGGAGTGAAGCGTAAATTTATTTTGTGTTCTTTGTCCGAATCTTAAGCCAATATCGAAGCAATCCTCACAGAATGCACATATACCAGTAAGAGACTGATCAATTTCAGTCTTAAACATAATTGGGAAGATTCAAACAAATAATACAAAATGAATAAATGTCATTGTATATTACAGCAGGCTATTTCGAAACATATTATGTCAAATCCTTGACTCTCTGGCATAATTATCTCATATACCATATATAGGATATTTTTTCCAAATAACCAATTACTAAGTTCACAAACTGGTAATGTATATCAATTTAATCTTCTCCCAATCAATTCGTATTTTTTAAGTCATCAAATTAACTGGTGACTATCCAAAACAATCTGGATCAATTTATGGTGAATACAAGTACATGTAGCCATTCATATTAATACTAGTGAAAGCTTATTAATAACGCCAAAAAAAGAAAATAAACTCACTAGCTGAATTTAACAAAAAAATTATTGTGTATATATTTCACTACATGACAAATGTAAATCACTCAATGCTAACAAAATCTATAATGAGATATATAAAGCTCAACTGATTTCTGGATAATTACCTATTATAAAGTTTCAATTATTCTGTCATTTTTTTCACAATCCTCAACAAGACATATCTATTCTTATCAATAATCAAACGGAATATTACTAGGATGTATGATTACAGACGCTTGAGAATGATCATGTCGATATCGTATGTGTTAAATAAGTTTGAATTGAAAGACTATTTGTTCGAGGACTAATGTGAACATTAACACACATATACCCTACTAGCAAGTTTCAAATAGGATGAAATAAGTCTCATGGATTCCACTGTTAGTGACAATCTATCTATTATAAATAATGTGTCTGTACTATAATGGAATACCTTAGAGATAATTCCTAATGATTCATGTATTACTCAAACTGATAATTGTTATTAGATAACTTCCAACAGTGTATATATTTGGAAATATAGTAAAAAGCGTTGACTGCTGTTTATTATTCTACAGTGCAGATCGTGAAGCTACAAGGATACAAAGAAAATATGAACAGAAATACAAATAAAAATGAATGCCAGTGAACATTCGCGAGTGAATGAATAAACGGAATTTGAGAGACAAACATATATATGAAATCAAATGAGTCATCGTACGGTTTAAGCAACTAAGTTAATTGAAGTGCTTAATAAAACTGAATGTATGCAGACTCAAGTGTATGTGAGGTACTATAGTACCAACAATTTATAAGACTTGAATATTAAATTAGTCGACAAAATTGTCTCTATATCTTTTTTTCTTCAAAATCTAATCATAGTTGCATATTGAAAACTGGTTTGATCACCTCACTTATTGGTTTATTCATTCAATCAACATTGTATTGTTATTTGTCATGGCAACTTCTACTGTTTATTTCCATTTAAAAAATGACTCATTAATCTATGTTATTCTCGTATGTCACCTTATAAAATTTAATTGAACATATTTAATGGATTGTAAAACCATAAGTACAAATGCTTTCGTTAAAATGATTTAAAACAATTGTTAATATGATCTTATTCTAAAAACTAATGAATGCTTACTTAAATTAGCAATGCATTACATTTAAGCTTTACATAAATACTCACTGTCTTATCGTGTGAATGACTATATGGGTGTAAATGAAATAGGACATAATGCATGAATTTGTCGTATAGGCGTTTCCCACACTAAAATTGTTTGAGTCATATTCAGTGTATTAAGTTACTGAAACACAATATTATTTACTCATACTATGAATAGTGTCCAGTGAAAATATAATATACTGACGGACTTGAGTTAATTAATCAGAATTCAGATAACGCTTTATGCATCTTGCTCAAACTTTATAGTGCAATGGTAGATAACGTGTATGTTCATATTAACCAAATGAAAATGTGCAATATTTGTTTCCTAAAATGTTTGTAATCGATAAAAAGATATCTACTATGCTACCAAAAAGTGAAGTTTAGATGGTTCATGAACTGAATTACATAACGTACCTGCTCCTAAAGCAGACTGTATGTTAAAGTATCTGATGTTATTCATTATGTAATCAAGATTGTTTGATGAAGCTAGATAATATTCTTCCTTTTTTTAGTTTTACTCTAAATCTCAACCCTAAGTTTCTCAAATTTGTAAACAGGAAAATGATAGGGCATTGGATTATAGCTGATATCAGTTCGTATTGAAAACCGTGACCCTAATTTGTAAGCCTAACTCAAAACTTCAGCAGATCTCTTAATACATAACCCTAACTTATTTGCATTATAACTGATGTCATTTGGGAAAGAAAACTCCATAAGGCTAGAAACCTAACTTACAACATTAACCCAACTCCTAATATGTACGTACGTGCGTACGTACGTAGGTATGTATGTTTGTATGTAAACTTGACCTGTTTTCTTTTGCTATAACGGGTGATTTGACATGGAAGGATTTATTATTCAAAGCAAAGCTGTTATTTTACTGTTATTTCATTACTTTGTACTGTTAATTATATTACAACTAGCTAGCATCGTTCAAGGTCATCAGTGAATAATATAGATTTTATAAAATAATCATATATTTTAACAAATTTTAGTTTAATGAATATCAAAAAGAAAAAAAGTAATGAGAAAAGACAAACACGAAGTATCACATTTGAAAAAAATAAAAATAAAACTTATTGCTTATTTATTGTGTTGAAATAAAAACTTTTACAAGGTGTTTATGGAGAGTTGAAGTTATAATTAGTAATTAGAAATTTTTTCTGAAATAATTATTGAGACATATATATATATGATATAAGGAGAGGAAATTAGGTCGTTGAGCTAAATTTTAATGGATCTGTTCATGGAACTGAAGAGTAATAATCACTATTTGAACACATAAATATTGGTACAAAGGGGAAACGAATATATATGCGTCAAACAAGTCACTTGATTTTTGTGTGGGCTGTGATACTGACCGGGTGCCCGGACCGAAGCTGTTGGTTTTCTTAGGAGGCCACACTCGGAGCCTTCGACCTAAAGGTCTGATCCACAAGGCAGTAGAGTAACGTAAGGAGATGCAGTCCCATGGTAGCCGGTGACCACTAATTGGTTCATACGCCATTTTTTCTCTCAGGATACTGGAGCTCGTGTGTACAATTGGTTTGAAATTAGGGTTTTCCAACTCCCCTAGGTGGGTCCTTTATATCCAAAACCCGGTTAAAGAGCCGGACATTCGCTTTTCGTTCTCTCATTTTCGTAAACAACATCCCGCCACGAGAAGACAGTGGCTGTATACGCGTGGCCATTTGAGAACATTTCGAGAGGGGAAGTTGACTCTCTCCACCCTCGTCCATACCAATGCATTTGGGGACTAGTAATCTACTGTTATTATTATTATTATTGTTAAAACTCGCAAACATTACGTGCTAATAAATTAACCATCGCCAGCTGATTTGTTTAAGATTAAGATCATTCAATAATGGTCATTCGCTTGTGTCTACCACATCAACTCGAATTATGTGTTTTCACCTTTGTGCCTAACATAAATTCAGATCTGCTTACTCAGATTATCCATTACAAAAGCCGTAAGCAGATGGGTGAGTGAAAAAGAGGGCACAGTTATAAAGAAGACACATTATTTAGGGTGATCATCAAAAAGGTCCATATTAATAAAGTTGAACATCAAAAGATAGAATATTATTTTTAATGGTATGAAATCTGTTTGATTTACTCTCTTTTCTTATATCTGTGAGATAATTTAAAGAACGTGATTTTTTAAATGTTTAGTGAAGAGTCTACTTTAAACAAATATTGTGAATTTTTCGGAATTCGTGACAATTTGTTATTCACTAATACAAAGTTTGTGTCCCAAATTAAACTTCATGAATTCCAATTCCATACCAATGAGGTGTAAGAAGTATAACTAGGTATATAATACGTCGACTTTGTTAACATCTGTTTCCTTTTTGACCCTAATCAAATATTTTATTTGAAAACATATATATATCATCATATTTTCACTACAAATACTTAAACGTAATTAATTCTATTGCACTTACATTTTTAGTTACCTGAAATTATCTAAAAAAATCTCTTATCCTCTTGAATATCTAACACATACAGACATGCCTTTAAATAGATTATCCTCTAGCTATTCGATAGAGATATACAAGAAAACATGAATGAGGTAATAAAGAATAACGAACTGTCACCAAATCCGAAAAATTACAATATTTGTTGAAAGTAGACTCTTCATTAGACATTTAAAAAATCACATTGATTTTTTAATTATCGCAAAGATAAAGAGACAGAGGATAAATCAAACAGAAGCCACTCCATTAAAAACAATATTCTCCCTTTTGATGTTCACGTTTATTAAATACAGTTTTTTGATAGTGATCCCTATAAATGTGTGTCTTTATTTAACAGTGCTCTTTTTACATTTGGCTCTTTCATAGTCGTACTATTACTCATTTCGTTATTAGTGTGAACCCAAACTCAGATAAGTTTTATTTTCTAATAGCAATTACTATATTTTATAATTTAATGTGGTGTATTACTAATGTACATTATGAATAATACGGTTATTTAATGATGAAAGAAAAAAAACAAAACACATGAAAATGAAAAGAAAATCATGTATGCTGACCAATTTGTATTCTTGCTAAAATAAATTTTGTGCGATCCATTGTTTGTATAGGCTGTAATGACCATTGAAAACGTTCTCTATCACCTTGACAAAATAATTCACAACAAACACGTATTGCCCATTCTTTACATATTGGCCAAACTCGACAGGGATTACTTATATCTGAACATTTTAAGGCCATCTATAAAATACATACAAGAAGGCATAAAGATGATTTATATATATACATATATGATTGTTACTTAATCAATAATTAACTATATTCAATGTTTCTGTATCTTTATTCATCAGTAATTGTTATTCTTGTTTTGTTAAAATGAACAATGTTTACATTGTTTGTTTACTGAGATACTTATTTATTTTTTTTCTTGAAAAAATCAAATTCTATGACAGAGAAGATAACAATTTTTTTCTGATAATTCGTTTAATAATAACAATATTAATAAGATTTCTTATGATATATATATATATATATATATATATATATATATATATAGTTTAAAATAACTCCGCCTGGAGCCCCTTTGAGGCTACTGACTGTCCCAAGCCCGGATAAAGGAGGAGGATTGGGCATGGAATAAGCGACCCCATCTCGTAGAAAACTAACTCGCTAAAAAAAGGCTAACCAGAAAAAAATATTCAAATCATTTAAACTATGTCCTGGGAGTCAAAAGGTCTTCGTTTAGAAGAGTTATGACGCCTCGTGGTAAAAGCCTAGTTCTTTTAGAAGTCATGAGGCTGATGCCCCTTCTGATAACCAGAACAACCACTTATTTGGGTACATGGGATGCTCGTACAATGTGGGAGACCGGAAGAGTCTTCCAAATTGCTTCAGATATAGCTTAAAATAAATGACAAAATAAGCAATCGAACATTGACAGTATACGCTTATATAAATTAACTTTTGAAATTGTTCCAATTTACATATATATTAAACAAAAATTAAAAGTTATTCAAGGTGAGACTATAATTTATGGACGACCTTTCAGCGACACCAAAATGACCTTGAGAATGTTCATCCAATAACTAGGATCATATGTGGGTTATAAATTAGTGTGAGGAATTAGAATTATGATTTACAGTTGATGGTTAAGATTAGGAATTAGATTTCGGGTTTTCATCACGAATTGACATCAGCTATAATACCAAAATTCTATTTAGCCAAATGGATAAGTGAATTTTGCGCCAAAATCCGTGACCTGTTATCTTATATTTGATTGGTTCGTCCATAAATTATAGTCTCGCCGTTTAGTAAATAAATTAAATTATTAGAACATTCGTTCATTCAATCATAATTTCAATTGAACTGGGCAACAAATCTTATTCATTATATCAAAAATCTTAATTAAGAAATATTAAATAATTGTCAGTGAATGAGTAAATCATCTACAACGTAGGACCAGGCATATACATATACATCGGTCCAATTTGTCACACCTCATTAGCACAGTAAGATGAATATCACATGCATGAAAGTAGTCTTTTCAATGGTAATAATAATTATAAGGAATATTTACGTGTTAGATAAACTTTTATTAAGAATAAAGAAGTTTATCTTATAAACATTGTACACTGATTACTATGCAATATTATAAAGATATTAATTATATTAGAATGAAAGAAAATCCAGTAAAGGAAATTTGCTTTACTTCTTTATCAATAAATTATCTTTCATTTCTATTCAATAACACAATTGGTTTCTTTTAGTATATAAATTTTATCTATGGAATTCATTGAGATTAAAATTAACTAGTTTAAACATTTTATATATTGGCCAACTCTAAACTTTTAAACTGGGATTTTTACAAATATGATTTATATCAAAAGTCTTCAAATCATTTTTGCAGGTTTTTGAATCGAATGAATCATAGCTACTTAGTGTCTATAGTGACTATGCAAAATAAAGTGAGTTTATAATTTAAATTCTGATAGATTACGAAACAATAATTATTTTGTAATCAACATTGAGGTATATACATGATTATAGACAATTATTAATTCAACTATAGCATAATCACAATTTTTGCCACTTAGTAATGTATTATAAAGTTGTGTATTAAACTACGGATTATAGTGACTGAGTGTAGTATATGGACTAAAAATAAGACTTAGTTGCTTAAACAAAGGATGGTACGAACAAATGCAACTATTTAACGTACTAAGTGAAATATAATTTGCATATTTTGAGAGAGACTGTAGCTTATTCATACTTGTGATGGTAATTTCAACAAATTAAAAAGTGGCTACCTTTTCTGTGAAATCCAAGAAATGTGTATCGCATACAACTCGTTATTAAATCCCTACATTCTGATTGCTTTAAACCAAAATGTGATTATTCTGGTATGTTTTCATTAACCCAAATTTCGTTTTAGTTCGTATTCATCAGCAAAATTAATGCTTCTTCTCAAAGAAATTGATGTTTCTTGTGAAATTCCAATTCATATTATCGATTGTTACACTACGAGACACGACCATTGAGTTAGTCTTCCCAAACACCAATCATAACAACATTGATCATATGATTTCGAGTTATTTAGCTTAGTGGGTAGATTGCTACTTGATCGGCTCCGAGGATATTAATTACTACGAAGTGAACAACCTCATACAGTTAGTTCCTTCAATAAACTTTTGCAATCAGTTGATTTCTCACCAAACTCAGTTTATTTGTAATGGGCTGATGTAACCACACTATATTTATGAAAAATATTAGGAGTCATAACCTTGAAACTTTTATTCTACTTATCACTTAATTAGCACTTGCAGGGAAAATCTGATAAAACTCAATAGAGTACATAGCTAGATAGACATGATCAATTCCGATCGATTCCTAAATCGCCTTATTATATGCATATATAACATATTCGACAGAACTTGCCTACTTAGGTCTAGATTCTTTTGTTTTTCATTCTTCTATGTGATCAAAATTAGTTATTTCATCAAAATAGATCTGCAAAAATCAGTTGATGCATACCATTAAAACCGTTAAAAAAAGAATTGAATATTGTTCATTCACTGCTTACTGACAGAGTGCTTTAATCAAAAAAAATTCTGTTGCTCTTTTTGTTCTAACCTGTGTCACTTTTAAAAAATGGATTTTTGTTCTCTAATGGAGTAAACTACACTAAGTTGTAAATTTTCTGTTTATTGAGATGTAACAATCATATTGTTAAAAATTCTGTTACATATATTGAAAACCTGGTATATTAAGTATATGCATACACCTATCATCGAAACCTAAAAGATTTCATATTTTATTATATTTCTGGGTTGCCAATAGACTAGCGAAAATTTCTGTCGGACTTAAAATGGTCAGAAGCTAAAGACATAAAAAGATTTGAAGAGAATAGAGTTTAATTTTATTCCTTTTATCTTTTATAGGATGACGGCTTTATTAACATCAAAACGTGTTAAAAAGGTGTAATGTCAAATATAAATAGTGGTAAGTGAAATTTTAGTACAGAAGGTTTATGAAAGTTGTTTAATTTATCATTTAAATCTAGAATGATTTTAGTTGATGAATTAGCAGAAAACAGACAGCATAAAACAGATATTATGTTCCATTATGAAATTTTCAGCAATCACCTACCACAGTGAAGTAATTAACTTTGACAGAAATTCGTCGAGATTTAGTGTGAAGCCGTGATTGCTGGAGTTCAGTCATATTAGATATAAGATTCAATGAATGACTATTACAGAATATCGCGAAATGAGGTTAGCAATGTGAACCAATCTATCCCGACTGAATGATTCTATAGATGATGAGCTCAGCATATTACATATTGATTCTAAGTCCGGTCTTCGATGAAGCAATGAGTGACCACTTTTCATAAGTCGCATTATAGAGAGACCGGTGTACAGTACTTCCTGAATTTCACTAGTTTTCTAGTTAAACTCACTTTGCAATGTAATCCTTTAAAAGTAACTATATGATTTAGAAATCTTTTTTAAAAAAGGCAGCAAAATATCAAGTTTTTGCTAGCGAATTTATCTCGAACCAGCATAAGATAGGGAATCATTCAAAATGAACCCAAGAAACACTTGTTTCATAGCAGTTTGATGCTCTTTACTGCTCATGCACAACACCAAAATAGGACTGAACTTTGAAAGTGTGGTGAATACCATGAAGAATCCTTATATAATGTTACACTTATGTGTATTTCAATCATGTTTATTCTTATAGATAATACTGAATTATCAGTAATAAACTATTGAGTACACTTATTCAATTCCTAATTTACTAGTAAAGCTGTACAACACATATACGATTTAAGATTATTAAAACTTTCTGAAAAACCTAGTGCAAGATCTGTTGTTTGGTTAAATAAGTCTTCAAATTAGACTTGTGTATAAAGTATGTTTACATTTAGATAAGAGATGAAAATATTTGAGACTAAGAAATAATATTTCCATTTGAGTGCATATACTATGGTTTATTGATGATTACTTGTAAATACATTTTTCTGGATGATTCCGTTGGTTTTAGAAACTCTGATAATTTTATATTTAGAGTGTAGGATTTACTTTAGATTACTATAGTAGTATAAACCATCAGTTATTCAAATAAAAAACTATTAGTATACAACCATTTATTGATAAACCTCTTACATGCACATTTAACTGGGATTATTGTCTTAAGTTCTCAAATACAAAACTACACAAAGTGCATATACTTGTAAATTGTTTTTTTTAGAAAACTGAATTTACTCAGTGATAAACAAATGTTATAAACAGTACATGCTTGAAGGAAACATGATACGTCTTATCAACTTGTTTCAAAACAATTGTTAATCACTTAAAATAATATAATACAATTAAATAATGAATTCTTTGACAATCATAGGTACATCTAGATGACAAGTCCTAAATCGAACGAAACATATGTCCTGAATTTCACTACTAGCCACCATCTTTACTTATAATTATTTGATAATTGTTTACTACTTAAAATGAATTATATCGTATTTTTAAATAAATTTTTATTTTCAGAAGAGGTTTTGTGGAGATTTTTAGAAATTTTAATAGTTCCCCACTAATGACTGACTTCAAGAGGCATTTCCTGGAGTTTCTAGTGGGAAGCCGTGACCACTGGAGTTCAATCAGGTCTGTTGTGAGATATCAACTCACTGAAGACAATGGTGTACGGTGGCGCAATTTCATGGATCGGTTGAAGTTAGACATTAACACCGCTGGATGCCAGCCGGCTCAGTGGTCTGATGGTTGGGCACTCGCGCGCGAGACTTGTAGGTCCTGAGTTCGAATCTCGCAGGGGGCGGGGTCGTGGATGCGCACTATTGAGGTGTTCCACATTAGGACGAAACGGCCATCCAGTGTTTCCAGGGTTCCCATGGTGGTATAGCTTCAATTGACTCATGATTTCAACTATTGGAATTTTTATTTGTAATTGTATAGATAAATTTTAAGATTAATTAGATTGAGTTAATTAGTTACTGGCTTTGTAAAATCTTATTGTCGTTTAAAACGTTGCTAATGAAATAAAAGTATTCTTCACCAGATAGTTACTATTACTTTTTTTATTAGTGATGCACTGGGTGTTTTTAAGTTACTTCAATGATCCATTATTTTAATATGTTATAATTTTCTAATTTAAGACTAATAATATTTAAAAAGTTTTTCAATAATTTATAGCCGTATTTACTACATAATAAAAGTGAAAAAGAACGACTTTTGTATTGGTTTATAGCTGTGAAATATCTACTTTAAAAGTAGAAAACGTGAGTAAGCATAGCTTGAGTTTTGTGGAACGATCGAGTGGGAGATGTTGGGGTTAAGCGTGAGCTACTAGGGAAAAGTGACAAATTAGTGAATGAACATAAAAAATCCTCGCTGACTGAAATGTTTAGGATGTGTGTTAAGTTTGCCTACATATCTTGAGATGATATTTGCTGATGTAAGAGTGGGCTGGAGGAAAGCTAAAAGTGGCCGAATAAAAACAAGGCATTAGTTTACTAAGGCATCGACTGTCGGTCTGGATCGTTTTTGTGAATACATAATATCTGGTCAAAGTCTGTCAGTTTATTGTAATCAGCGGTAGATGACTTCGAGTAACATGGCTTAGAATCGTTCACAATAGTGCTGATACTTTCACTTTATTTATCTCTCGTTCTTGAACCCCAGTATTTCTTCACACATACCTTTCATTTCTGTTTTTTCGAACCATATTATCATTATAATTAGTATCATCTTATTTCTATTTCTCGCTATTATTCTTGATAACCCGAACTCATCATGCCTAATTAATATGGCAAATTATGTCAACACACATCCGAATCAGCCTTGATGGTGGTATTAATTAACCGACTGAAAATGTTCGCCACACCGGAGTAAGCCTTATCTCAATCATTTTAACTACTTAGCTGAATTGTTGCAGGATTTATGCTGCGTGATGATAGTCTTTATCATAGAAAGAAATCAGTTGAGGATTATGTAAAGCAAAATAATGTTGAAACGCTGTCTTGTTTTAGTTTGACTTGACACACGAGAGCGAACTGATCATCATATTTGACAGTAAGATACTATTTAACGATTGAATCAATCTTTTCAGTTCACATCCTCCAATGTCAATACATTTAAGAAATAATATAGGTATTTCAAAAATGCCGTCAGCAGAACTGTTTTAAATTAGGAATTGATTTACTATACACTTTCAGAAAAACTTGAAGAATTTTACTTCTAAATCAATCACCAATAAGAGCATGACTGTTAGTGACATTATTATTCATTCAGGTTTTAAATCACTGACTGATCTTAGTAAAACATCCCTTAAAAACCAGGATATCCTAAAAAGCTGTTTGCTTTTAGTTTCGGTCCCCCCAACAGTGTACATTCACAACCCAACTGAGGATTGAACCCGGAATCTTTAAACCTAGTGACGAGTACTTAACATTTGGACCTCTGAGTCGATATATAAGGGTCTACATTTCTAACTTGAGTTGATTTGTGATCATTATTTAATTAGACAGTCTATAAAATTTATTATTTATTTTCACAGATTTTCAATTAGGAACTGATCTAAATTAGACCATCAGTGAGAACCCGTAAGAATCGTAGGGCTGTTTCCTTAGGTATTGACTCAACAGTGGACATCCTCTACACCCGCATCTGGAAGTCAAACCCAGAATCTTTGACCATCAAAGCTTGTTTACATACTACGGATGGTATACAGCTAATAATAATCCCATTTCATCAAGTGAATTTATGCTATAATGTCTAGTGTGTTATCTTTCTTCGTGTACAATTATAGTTAAGTCACAGAGCCTAAAAATCTTCAATTAATCACTGACATCAAACAGTAAAAATATCATAGCTAATAAATTTTGTATAAAATCTCTGTCCCATTTACCCATTTCTAATCACACTTTAGGTATAAGACTTGGAAAAAAAGAAGCAACTCAATCATATTTGATGTACTGAAGACAATATAAATCTATATCTATAAATAGAGAAAACTAAAAGAAAGAAACTGGATTTTCATAAAGAAAAGTCATAATGAAATTTGCTAATATGATATTGGATAAATAAATGAATAAATGAATGGACAAATGGATAAATACATAAAGGTAAATTAATAGTTGGAAAAATTTTGCCTAAGGGTTAAATAATTCCATAAATTATAAAAGTTGAATTGGAAAATGAAACATTCTTTCATTTTGTTCAAGAAGAAGACCCATGAGAAATGATTAATATTGAGAACAGCATAAAGACAGAAATAATAAAGTTAATATAACTAATTGAAAAAAATATATCTTATTTAACAGGATTTATTTATTTCAGATTATATAATACTAGAATAAGAAAGATTAGATCAGCGAAGAGTTCTCTTTTCGACGAATTCATTTTCAAAGCTGTGCAATATCAAATATATATATATTTATTTATTTATTTTTCCAGGATGATAATAATACTGATAATAAACTTGTTATACATGGTGACAGTGAGGTTAAATAAACAAAGGTATTAAAGGTATTACTAGAATAGTTCACTGACAAAATAGCTTGTTATAACATTGAAAAACATCCGTTTGAAACCTACATGAGAATTGTTAGTTGCAACATAACTTATTAATAAATATCAACTTGTGTAAAACTCATGCACAATTAATTCTGCCTGATCGGTTATCATTATCTATTTATGAAATCTTTTTATATTTTTAATTAAAAATATAAGAGGAATCTTCGATTTAATGCTTTTTAGAGAAATGTAGATGAGTTTTATTTATACAACAAAATAAAATGTTCAATATAGAATTGTGGAGATTGTTGAATTTCATTGAAATCATGAACAGATCAATCTTATACA